GTTCAGCCTTAACTGTGGGTCTTTCAGAAAAGGGGGGGCCTTTGGCTGGGCAGCCCTGGGGTGTCAGCCCTACTGTTCAGCCTTAACTGTGGGTCCCCCTGGAAGGTGGGGGTTCATATCTCCTGCCCCTTTCACTGTGGATCATGTGGCCTGGGGTGCTGGCCCAAGCCAGTGGGGGGTGGGGAAGAGCTCTCACTCTTCTTCCTGTGCCTGGAGCTGTAGATCCTGAGGGCAGGGCCTGGGGGTGCTGGGCAAGTGTAGGGCTTCCAGGTCAGGATAGAGCTATGCATGCAGCACTCACTTCAGAGTACTCAAAACAGCTAGGACCAACTACAGGGCCCCAGGAGGCCTTGGCAGCCAGCCCCTGTACTCTCAGAGCAGCATGCTCCCCACCCACCCCCCCATCCAGACATCTGTCAGGCACCTGGGAGCCCCCAGTGACATCCTTGAAGGCTTACCTGATGCCTGCTCTGGGGTCTTCCCTATGTCCCCAGCCCCAAGGAGAGGAGAGAAAGGAATGGCTGAGCCCTGGGACCAAGGGCCTGGACTTGGGACCCCAGGGTCAGTGGTCACAGAGAGCCTGGACCCTGCCCAGGCCAGGTTAGTCTCAGGCTTCTTGGGAACACACCAGAGAGATAGCCTACTTCCCCCTGTGCCTCACAGGAGCAGAGAAGTGGCTGGCCCAAGTCTGTGTGCCACTTGACACCCTGATCAGCCTGGGTCCCTGCTGCCAGCGGTACGCAGGTGCTCACGTCTACTCACAGCCGGGAACGGGCCAGGCCTGCCAGATCAGGGTGGTGGCCAGCCTGGTCCTCACCTCTCACTGTGCTCTATCTCCCCTGCCAGGTCTGGCCTCTTTGCCCTGCCCCCATCGGCTCAGCTGCCCCAGAGTGACCACCCCTCCGCCAGCAGCTGCCTTGGCCCGGCCCCTGAGGACAAGTCCAGAGAGGTGATGCAGCTGGGGCCGGCCTCCCCACCTCCTCCCCAGGGGGACCAGCCCCCCGAGACTGCCACCGGCCCTGAGCCAGCCCCACCCCTCATGCCACCACTGTCTGCCAGCAGCCCAGCCCCATACCCACCATATTTTGAGGGCGCCCCCTTCCCTCATCCCCTCTGGCTGAGGAACACTTACGGGCAGTGGGTGCCCCAGCCGCCTCCCAGGACCATCAAGCGGGCCCGGCGGCGTCTGTCCCGGAACCGCGAGCCGGGCCGGCTCACCCTGAGCACCATCCGCCTGCGGCCGCGCCAGGTGCTGTGTGAAAGGTGTAAGCGCACCCTGAGCCCCCCGCAGGCCACGGGGCCTCCGCCCGCCCCCCGGGCCCGCAGGCGGCTGGGCAGCGGCCCCGACGGCGAGCGCCCAGAGCCCCCGGAGTCAGAGGAGGGTGACGCCGAGGCCTCTGCCTGTGGAAGGAAAAGCAAGAGGGAACGGCGCGAGGACAGGGCCCCATCGGCGGCGGAGCGCAGGGTCCTGGCGGAGCGCGTCCCGCGGAGCCCGGTCATCAGGATCTCCTACAGCACGCCCCAGGGCAAGGGCGAGGTGGTCCAGATCCCCTCCCGCGTGCACGGCTCCCTGGAGCCCTTCCGCCCCCCGCAGGCCCCACTTGAGGGTAGCCCAGAGCCCGAGGTGCTGCGCGAGGCGGAGCCCAGAGACAGGCTGCCTGGCGGCGGGCCCTCCACCTCAGTCCCCAAGCTGAGGCTGACACGGCCCACACCTCCCAGTTCGGACCTGCCCCCTCCCAAGATCCGCCTGAAGCCCCACCGCCTGGGGGACAGCGAGCACAAACCCGTGTACCGCGCCGAGCTGGTGCAGGAGCTGAACGGCTGCCGGAAGGGTCCTGTCCCAGGGCTAGCGGACTCATCCTCTGGGAGTTCTGGCGAGGAGGAGGACTTCGAGAGGTGTCCCCAAGGCCAACAGACGCAAGGCAGCTTGGCCTTCCTTGTGGACTGCCCTAAGGGGCGAGCGGGCTGCGCCAGTGAGTCCTTGTGCAGCAGTGACAGCCTGGACGAGTCCAAATCATCCAGCTCAGAGGTGACCTCGCCGGACTCGGGTGACCTCTCCCCCAGCAGTGGGGCATCTGTGCCTTCCTCCTCCAGAGAGGCTGGTCCCACGGTGCCACCCCTAACTGTGCGGCTGCACACGCAGAGCGTCTCCCAGTGCGTCACCGAGGACGGGAGGACCTTGGCCGTGGGGGACATCGTGTGGGGTAAGATTCGTGGTTTTCCCTGGTGGCCAGCACGTGTCCTTGACATCAGCCTTGGCCAGAAGGAGGATGGAGAGCCCTCATGGCAAGAAGCTAAAGTCTCGTGGTTTGGGTCTCCAACTACGTCATTCTTGTCTATTTCAAAACTGTCCCCTTTCTCTGAATTTTTCAAACTGAGGTTTAACCGTAAGAAGAAGGGCATGTATCGGAAAGCCATCACCGAGGCTGCGAATGCTGCACGACACGTGGCCCCGGAAATAAGGGAGCTCTTGACCCAGTTTGAGACGTAGCCTTGGTCCCCTGAGCAGGTGAGTGAGAGCCCGCAGGGGCTCCTTCCCCCAGAGTCCAGGCTCATCTGCCTCTGCCGGCCCTCTGAGATCTCTGGGGCTGCCCTCTGCAGCCACCAACCCACTGCTGCGGAAGGTGCTGTCCTGAAAATTGTTGTCTTCACTAGTGATGTCACCTGGGCGTGGCAATTTGGGGAAGATGGGTGTTAGAAGTAGGCCTGTCATCACCAGCCACTTGTCCCTTCCAAGCCTGAAACCTGTCTGTGTTTGCGCCACTTTTCAAAGGATGGCCATGAAAGGCTTCCTGCCCCTTAGTCTTTCAGAAAAGGGGGTGCAGTTGGCTGATCCTGGGGTGAGACCCAGTGGGCTTCATCTGCTGTAGCTCTTGTGAAGGAGCTAAACCTTTGCCCCCTCACAGGGGCTGGGGCCGGGCCTCTCCTCTGCCTGCACGTGGTCTGGGTGGGACAGGGTGAGGCAGGCTCCTGCCCCTGCACCTCCTGGTTGGTGTGGGCTCCCTGCCCTTGGTAGGTTGTCTGTAGAGGCCAACCCTCATGTGCCCTACCCCCAGGACTTTGTAGACTCTCCAGCCAGGCCTATCCAGCCAGGGGAGGTGAGCAGTATCCCCAGGTGCGGCTTCGGGGTCATCATCCTGTGAGGCTGGGGGTCACCCCACAGCATGTCTATGGTCACCAGGTGGGCTGCAGTGTCACCCTGTGGCTTTGGAGGTATCAACCTGCAGCAGGTCTGTGGGGTATCTGGAAGTATCAGAGAGGGCTGTGGCCTGCTGCGAGCTGTCTGGGCTGTCCTGACCTGGTCTGGTCCCCACCTCAGACGCCCGCTGCATCTGCTTGTTTCCCAGGAATCCAGGCACAAATCCTCTCTCTCCTTGAACCAGGCCCATTTCTGGTCAGTTCTGAGGCCTTTGTGTCAGGTGAGGCAGATGCCAAACAGGTGTGTTGGGGAGTGGGCCTCGGTGCCAGCTTTTGCTTGAGTTTTGGGGTGTGTGTCATACCAGGGCCCTTCAGTAGGGCAGGCAGTGAGCTCTGAGGGGTTGTAAAGTCAGGTGACTGGCAGCCTACTGGGCTGGCAGACCCTATTTCCGCTCCTCTGTGAGCTGCCCCTGCCCTTGGGCTGGCCTGGTAGCCCTTGCCTGGGTACCCAGAGCCCCCAAGGGGACAGATAGCAGGCCATCCCTCAAGCCATGGCTAGGGCTCAGCAGCTCTGGGGTCTGGGACAGTTTCAGGGACTGAGTGAGCAGTATACTGCATCTGCCCAAGGGGGCAGGTGGGCCCCAGGAGGCCCCCAGGCCTTGGCTGGCAAGGCCAGAGCTAGGAGAATGCAGCCTTGTAGGTTCAGGGCGGGCTTTGGGCTTTGTTTATCCGGAAGCAGAGGAAGAATCTCACCAGACAGGTTTGCCTGCCTGCCTGTGCCCAAGACAGGGCGGCCAGTGTGAGGAGCCAAGGGAAGAGGGGCTCCTGCCCTCCTGGTGGTCTTGTTGGTTCACCAAGTGGTGCTGGGGCCCAGTGTCGTGGCTCCAGGGGCCCCCCATTCTGTGTGAGGCTGCTGGTCTCCTGGGGACGAGTTTACCCTGAAACATCAGCAGTGTCCTCAGGCCTGCTCTGAATGGTGGGAATCTGCCCTCCCCCAGAGGGAAGGTATGCTTCCTGGGGCACAGGCTGCGTGATGTGCTAGGGGCCCAGTGACAGTGCCTGACTGAGGGTGCAGTGGCCAGCACCTGACACCTTTGGGGAAGAGGAGGCCACATGGGGTTCAGCTGGGGAGACCAGTGCAGGAAGGTCCGTGCTCTGGGTCTCTGCTGCCTGGTCTGCTCCAGCAGCCCTGCAGTCACCCGAGGACGGCTGTGGCAGTGCCCTCAGCTTAAGATAGGAGGTATCTGTGCTGGCCACTGCATACATCAGGGCCCTTTCCCAGTAAGCAGGGCATTCTCTGCTGCCTCCCAGGGATGTTGTGTTCAAGCCCTGACCTCACTGGGTGGCTTGGGGCTCTGCTGAGCAGTGGGCTTGGTGCAGACACCCCATAGTCCAAGGGCTCCAAGCTGGGCTGGGGCCCGGTGGTGGCCTGGGATATGTGTCCAATCGGGCTCCTCCGGTGGGTCCTACCCAGATGTTCAAGCCAGGCCGGCTTCCAGTTTCAGGGCTTTGTCCCAGCTGGTCACTTGCTGCTGGGGGCTCAGTTTCTTTGTTGTTGTGCATTGACAGTAGCACCCATTTGGCTACACCAAATGGGGGGGGGGGACTCTTGGTCAGCGCCAGAGAATTGCCAATGACCTATCTGCAGCTACCTTCAGAGCAACCAGCAGGACCCTAGGGGCAGGACTGGGTGAGGGTACTCTGTGTTGTCAGGGTATGGTGGGCTCAGACCTCGGGTCACTGTGTGTGGGAGCAGGGCTCATGGGCAGGGGTCACACTCTTGGCTAGATCCAGGGCAGTACCCCTGTCCATGGTACTACTAGGCTGGCTCACAGTGGCCAGGCTTCATCCTGCAGATGAGGGCAGAATTTGGGGGGGGGGGGGGCTGGGGCATAGGACCTCCAGGGTCCCCTGTCAGAGAGGGGAACGTGGCCTGGCCCTCAGCCCCCAGCCTTGCTTTCTATTCTACCCAGCCTTTCCCTTTGCCACTTGCCCACCCACCTAGGGCTGGACACTCAGCTAGATGTGGGCCAGGGTGAGGCAGAGTCACTTTAGTCCTCACCCTCCTGGCTGGGCCGGGCTATGACTCACAGTCCACACATCAGTGGGTCATCACACACGGGAGTGCGGAGGAGGAGAGTGGTCTTGAAGCTGAGCATCTGAGAAGGCTTCCTGGAGGCAGTGACAGGGTCCCCCAGCTCTGAATGGTGAGCTAGCAGGAGCTCATAGTGCAAGGGGTGGGTTGTAGACAGGAGGAAGGCAGGTGCCTACCAGGCCTAGCAGACAGATGCTAAGAGCCTGCTGGCTGAGGCACAGACCTTGGCCTTGTCCTGACAGCAGAGCTGCTGTGACCAGAAGGGTGAGATGGTCTTGTTTATCAGCTGAAAATAAAATAAAACTTTAAACAAAGCTGGTAGCTTAAAAAAAATAAATAACCCCCCAGCTGTGGGGACAGGGAGAGCCAGGGGCACTGCAGGAGGTGGGGGGCGGGAGGGGGGCTCCCGGGGGGGCTCCCAGGACTGAGGAGCACCTCTGGGCCCAGACAGCATCCAGGCTCAGGGCAGCTCCAGGTGGCTGCATCAGAGGACCCCCCAACCACGCCAAGGGATCTTGCTGCCCAGAGGCACATCAGACCTCATGGTGTGGCCTTGGCTGGGGATGATGCCTCAGAGACAGAGTATGACGAGGGGGACCCCACTGAGTGGCTTCTGAGGGTGGGAGGTTTGGAGCACAACCAATTCTGAGAGCATGCAGAATAAGAGGGCAGGAAGGTGGCACTGGTGGGCCAGCCCTGTGGGAGGGCTCGTGGGAGGCCCTGAGCTGGCACTTAGGGGATAGGGCCTTGCTCACCCTGTACCCAGTAGCAAAGCGAGAGCCAAGGGGGTGCTAGGTGGACAATCATCCGAGCAAGCCTAGAGGGGCCACAGCAGCAGGACACAGGTGTCCTGGGAACTGCAAGGGCCAGTGGGTCACCTGGTCACACAGCACTTTCCAGGCTGTCCTGGGAGTCTGGGCAGGGAGGGTGAAGGCCACCTGTTACTCTGGCCTCTGGGGTTTGGGAACTTCTCTGGCTCTCAAACTGCACGAGCTGGCAGGGTCCAACCTCTTGTGGACCAAGAGTCCTGGCCCTTCCCCACCTGCCCCCGGTGGGGCCTCCCAGCGCTTGTGCAATACAGGGCCCTCTCTATAGCTCGGAGATTGGTCTTTCTGTGTCACTGTGCTGTCTGTGTCCTTTGTGTGAGTTCCCCATGGGGAAACTGTGACAAGCTACCCCAACCTGGGGGCATAAAACAACAAACATGAGCATCACATCTCTGGAGGTCTAAAGTTGGGTCAAGGTGGAGGATCCGAGTGGAGGGTCCTTCCTGCCTGTCTGCTTCTCCAGCTCCAGGTCACCCTTGGCTGACAGCCACATCACTCCAGCTTCTGCCTCACTCACTCAGTGTCCTGTGGTGGCATCTGGGGACAATGAAGGAGGACCAATACATTGGCAAACACCTTGGCACAGGAGGGGGGCTTCCCAGACTCCAGGGTTAGACGCCTCCATGCTCATTCATTCCACATTCAGGACCATTCATGTGCCTCAGACATAGCTGGGACGTCTCTTCCCAGCCTCTTCTTTGACACAGGAAAGGCCAGGGCTGGCAGGGCCTGGCCGAAGACCTGTGGGCAGCTGGGTGGAGGGACCCATTATGCAGAAGTATCAATGGCCATGCTGGGGAGGCTGTGCCGTCCCAGGAGCACCACAGGCCACGGGTGACCTCTAGCTTCATAACACTGTTCCTCCCAAAAGCAAGGATGTTAATCAAGAAACTGGGGTCTCTCGGGGAGGGCATGTGTCACTTGATGGGGTTGGCAGGTGCAGTGCTTGGGGGGTCACTGTGGTAGAGAAGCATCTGTGTCCTGGCTCCAGGGCTCAGCTCTGTCATTTACATTTTCTCTTTAGAAGGTACCCTTGGGCCGCCTGCCTCAAACCAGCTCATCTTTCTCCTGACTCTAAATAAAACTCACTCCTGCTTCTGAGGTTGGGCTTCTCAGCTGACGCCTGCGTTGCTTTCAGGGAATTCAGGTCCTCTGTGAAGGTTGTAATTATTTTGTTCCAGAAGGAAACTAAGGCCTGTAATTCTGAGCCTACTGCTAGGGTTTGGGCCTCCTCCTTGCCCTCGCCCCCGGCTCCCTGCAGCCCCTCCCTGTGCTTACTCCAGGCAAGACTGGGGCCCGAGGTGGGTGCCTGTGAGTCGGCAGGCCAGGTGGGGTGGCATGTGGGAGGAGCCGGTGGCTCTTCCAGGGGCCCAGGGGCATGGCTGGGGCGGCTCCTGCAAGCTGTCTGTCTGTGCCTTTAGAGCTGCAGGGTGGCTGCTTCCCTGTGGA